AATAACTAACCAAATACAAAAATGCGCCTAAATAAATAAAAGTATTTATTAAATAAAATTAATTAATAAAATATAATTGTTCTTTTTATTTAATGCGAATTCTCTTAACTTTTGGAGATTTGGATAATACATTGTAATTAAAATAAAGTGATCTATTTTCATATTCTATTATCTCCTGTATTGCAGATTTTCTCTTAAGCAAATCACCATCATTTTTGAGTGTTTTACGAAAAAAAGTAGAAACTTGATTATGATTCTTTTTCTTGATAGTAGAACAAGAAAATGCTTTAAAACCCATCTTTTATACTTTTCTAAAAGTTCCCACCCGTTATAAACTAATGCATGCTTATAAAGGGTTATCTGATTTGGCATATATAATCCTCGAACATACAGTGGCTCTCAAAAGTAACGCACCATGCAAATGATTGATCATTAATCACATGTAGTGGTATTAAATTAAAGCCAATCAAAATAAAATTAAAAATGTAAATCATTTATCATATGATTATCAAAATATGGTAAAAATTTAATGTAAATTGATTGGTTAATTTTTTAGTATGATACGTTTTGTCAAAAAAAGGTGGTGCGTTACTTTTGCAGTTTTTTGTATTTTTAATAAATTAATAATTTTATAAAAATTAACAATATGCTTTATTATAAATTTAATGATAAATTAAATATTAAATAGCCTAAATTATTAAATAAACTTAAAAAAAACCAATAATTTTAATAATTTAGAATTAATTTTAAATAAATAATATATTTATAATTATATATTAAAATATACATAAATTTTTAAAATTAATAATAATAATATTATAAAATATTTTTTTAAAAAAAAATTTTGACAAAATTATTGGAATCTCCTTAGTTAGAGGATTTTTTTAAACTAAATTTCACTATGATCGGGTTGGTAAATCGGCGCCAATTAATTGTCAAAGTTTGTGTAATGATCATCATTTATATAGTTTCTTATATATTCAATAATGTTTTATTTAATAACTTTGCATCCAGTGATCACAGAAAGATGAAACACAGCTCATCGGATTCCTCTCGTCGAGACGAATCTAATGGTAGTAAAATCGCATTCATAGATGCAATACATAAGGAATTGTGACTAAACATGTCAAAAAATTTTTTATAACTCATGTTTTGCATAGACATTTTAATGTCTAACTTTGCATCCAGTAATCACAGAGAGATGAAACATAGCTCATTAGAATCCTCTCATTGTAACGAATCTAATGGTGGTAAAATCATATGCCTAGATGTGATAGGACCCCGAGCAATATATATATAGGTATCAAAAAAGGTCAAAATTTTTATAATAGCTCTACGCAAGGTTTTTATTAAGATAAATAAGCAAACTCAACATGTGACTTCACAAATTGCCCAAAAATAAGCAATCTAACCATATGACTTTATAATATTATATTTTACAAAAATTATTTGATCAAATTTTCTCGCATTTATGATTTACAATTTCACTTTTTTCAATAGTAATATCATTTTAGCTAAAATATCCGTCTTAGTAATTTTTTTCATCTCCTATTAACTTTTGCATATTAGCATAATACCATCGCTTATATAGTTAAATGTTATACAATGCATTATTAAATAATACTAAATTTACTCAATAAATAAGCAATTATAATATATGACTTTTCAAAAATTCTGTGAAAATAAGCAAATGAAAAATATGACATTGGCAAAAAATATCATTAATTTTACGCAAATTTAACCTCTAACTGTGGCTAAAATAGCATGTGACTAAGCAAACGATATTGTTACCTATACATATATTGCTCGGGATCCTGATGCAATACATAAGAAAGTGACGTCAAAAATGTCTATGCAAAACATGAGTTATAAAAAATTTTTTGACATGTTTAGTCACAATTCCTTATGTATTGCACCTATGAATGCGATTTTACTACCATTAGATTCGTCTCGATGAGAAGAATCCGATGAGCTGTGTTTCATCTTTCTGTGATCACTGAATGCGAAGTTATAAATAAAACATTATTGAATATATAAGAAACTATATAAAATGATGATCATTACACAAACTTTGACAATTAATTGGCGCCGATTTACCAACCCGATCATAGTGAAATTTAGTTTAAAAAAATCCTCTAACTAAGGAGATTCCAATAATTTTGTCAAAATTTTTTTTTAAAAAAATATTTTATAATATTATTATTATTAATTTTAAAAATTTATGTATATTTTAATATATAATTATAAATATATTATTTATATAAAATTAATTCTAAATTATTAAAATTATTGGTTTTTTTTAAGTTTATTTAATAATTTAGGCTATTTAATATTTAATTTACCATTAAATTTATAATAAAGCATATTGTTAATTTTTATAAAATTATTAATTTATTAAAAATACAAAAAACTGCAAAAGTAACNCATACATCGGTTTCCATACAATACTTGTTTTTTATATAATCCTTTTTTTGACAAAATGTATCATACTAAAAAATTAACCAATCAATTTACATTAAATTTTTACCATATTTTGATAATCATATGATAAATGATTTACATTTTTAATTTTATTTTGATTGGCTTTAATTTAATACCACTACATGTGATTAATAATCAACCATTTGCATGGTGCGTTACTTTTGAGAGCCACTGTATTTTCATTCATATCGTCTATAACTACCAT